GCAGAGGCTGGGGTAGGAGTGTGTGTCAGCAATTCCAGCGAGGTCTCCTTCTGTTTCCAGAAACCTGGACAGCGGGAGCACAGAGTGTCCGGATATCAGTATCATCCAGACGCGGATCAAGGTGCACTACACTGCCCTACGCACATGCATACGCACACACATCGACCTGTCTCAGTCACTGTGGACGTGAGCGTGAGCGGCTCTCGTACGTTTGCAGAACCTGACCCGCAGGATGGACCTGTGCTACGGCAGGATGGGCAGTCTTCTCCGTTACGGCTCTCGTCAGACGCTCTTCGCCAGCCAGCTGATGCGCTATGCAGACCTCTACTCCCCCTCCTGCCTCAACCTACTATACTACTCCTTCAGATACCTCTTCAGGGCCCCGCCTCTTCTCGTGAGTCCTGACTGTGACCCCTATTGAAGCTGTTCTTTACGGATGGGGTATCGATCTCGAACACCCTGACCTCACCGTTTCAGAGTCAAACTGCTCACTGACGACACGTGACGAATAACTGACGGTTGTGTGTGACCACCCTCTCTGTCCTAACAGATGCCCCACGAGTCCACTGTAGACCACATCCCCCTTGACCTCCCCGTGTTCAACTCTTCCATCACCAACCACGTACTGACGCTCACAGATGCCAAGGTAGTCACATGACGGTGATAAGATGCACATCTGAGAGAGCAATAATGCGCTCATCTAGGACAAGCATCGCAATAAATGCCTAAACACTATAGCAGCTGCGCTGTCGGTGGGGTTCACAAAGGCGCTGAACTACAAGTCTATGTTAACTCTTTATAATATGTAAATTATCGAATTTTTGTTTTGTAGTGATGTATGAGATTTCATTTCCTATTACCTCTTATCGCCATCCAGAGGAAATGCGAGCAAGGGAAGATGGAAGAAAGAGAGAATTTCTGACTGTGGAGTCACACTTGGGAAAGTCTGGGACCTTCCTGAGGGACAGGGAGTCTCTGTGTGTCTGTGTGTACGCGAGTTTGTGTGCCTCCCATGCATGGAGACAAACCAAGGAAGACAGAGGGAACCTCTCTGAAAATCTCCTCATCATTATCATCATCATCATCATCATCCCCCTCCCTCATCGTCATCCTCATGGTATGACACACAAAACTGTGGCAGGCAACCCCGAGGAGGGCAATGGGAATATCAGCCGTAATAGCTAGATTAAAGGTGACTCAGGTGACAGTTTTTTCATTACTAGCTGATTGCTGGTTGGTTCCCAGAAAAAAACTGGGTCTTATGAAATCTTAAAATACCCACTTAATAATAAATGAATAACATGCATTCAGTGTTTATATAGATTTCAGCTTCTGCTGTTTCCGAATTATATTTTGTTGCTCAAACAAATATTTTAAAATAATATTTTTGTAAATCTTTAATTCAGATATTACTATTTTTAACATAAAAAGTTACCAACAGAGTAAATGCATGTCAGCATAGCGATTTTTGTACAGAACTTTCGAGTAACGATTTCATTTAACAATATAATATAATAATATAATATTTTTATTATAAAAAATGGAGGCAATACATAAATTGCTCTTTGCAGCATTTTCTGTTGTCTTCACTTGGAACATTTTGTTCACCATATTGTTGCCCCCTGCTGGACAGTCTTCAAAGCTACAGTCTCAGTGGACACGGTCCCATAAGCATACTCTGCCTGCAAAGTAAGCTGCAATGCAGCAAAACGTGTGTATTCTTACATCAGTTAAAATTAAAACCAAAGATGCCGCGGAAAACAAGAAGAAAAGAAAAACGCCGGTATCAGAACTCCTTATGAATGCAAAACGTGAAACTGGAAGTACGCCAATATTACTGTACGCAGAAGATAGTTATCTGACTCCAAGCAGCCGAGGAACATCCAAAGTGCATCTGTGAGTGTGGATTTGTAGATAGTACAAAGTTTTATGCGTCTCCACCTATAATGCATTCCCGATGTAAATAGGAAATAGATATATACGTCAGGATATTTTTATACAGAATTTAATAAAAAGCAGGTGTGAACTGGCAACATGAATTTGCCGATGACCTGGGGAACACGCCGAGGTCGACAGACGGGTTGGGCCCCCTGGTATACAGGCCGTATATCACACATGGGAAATTCTCGAACTTCCTCTTGGCCAGTTTGTGCCTGATAAAATGATTTAGATTTATTAATATAAATAAAAACAGCGGTGTAAATGAACTGCAGTTAGAACATATTTCAGTAATTGCTATATATAACCGAGTCCTTTTCCTGCAGACGTTCCAAACTAACCGTGACATTGCTAACGTTGTGTTGAATTGTGTTCAGGGGCAATAGGTGGCAGTATTATGACACACGTGTGAGTTGAAATGATAATGAAATTGGTAGTATATTTGGTATTCCTGCTTTTAAGAATTAATAAAGCAAAAAAATATATATATGAAAACTATTTTGGTGTCTGTTTCCTCTCAGTGATCTTACAATAGGCTACTACAATGAATTTAAGTGTTTATATGAACATCAATCGTTGCTATTTAAAAATATATGTATGACGCCGCTTAATAGGAACTATGGTTATATCGGAACCTTTTTAAGGAGATTTGATGAAAACGTGTGGAAAGGGACCGTGGGAGCGTCCGCGTTTTCCGTCTTTAGGCATATGGTCCCTCTCCCCCAGGCACAGGGGCTCGTCCCGGCAGTTCCTGAACTCCCTCCGTGTGCCGCTCATTCGCTGTGTTTTCGCAATGTCCAACAGTAACAGGAGAGGGCGCCTGTGCGCCCAGGTGCCACTTAGGTAACAGTGGGAATTCTATCCATCCATCACTCAATGGCTTTATATAGGTCACAGTGATGGAGGGGGGGGGAGGCAAAAAATGTCTGTGTCTGTGGGGGGTTAAAACTTGTGATTTTACTGATGCAAGGCGCAAGGCTTTCTGGGTGGGATGCTGGGCTATAACAGGGTGCCCATCATGGGCAGTTCCAAAATGCTAACTGGACTGGTGGTAGAATCCCACACATCACAATGAGGACGTGCAAACTTCACACACGGACACACAGTGCAGCTGGAATTTGAATGAGAAATGAGGCAACCTACTGAGCCACTTAATCGCCATGTCACACGTCACCATCATCTCTCCCTCAATATCATTAATATGCGTAATATTTCTTGAATAGCAGTATCTCATTCCCAGTTTAATCCCAGTTTTCTCCTTTCGTTACATTGTACAGCCATTTGGTGGATACGCATAGCATGTGGGTATGTTTGTGTTCTTACAGTACAGTGAATTATCATATAAAACAAGAACAAAATGAACATGATGCTCTGTCACTTCACTTCCAGCAATGACTCCCTAATTGTCTGTCTAAACTCACTAAGTCCCCAGAGATTTTCTTGAAAACGCATCCTGCAGACACAGTGGGTTTTGGAAATTTGCTCTTCAGTCAGTAGCGAGGAGCCGATCATGGACTGCGAACAGCTGCTGGCAAAACTTCCAGATTTGTATCAATTGCGGAAACAAGATTATTTAGCAAGATAGTAATTCTGGACCTAGAGGCATACCTTTCTTCCGAGTTTGTGGATACGATTGAAACGCCGATACTGCAGGAATGTGTTCTGAGACATTCCTGCGCTTCTCACCAAAGCTCACATTGTTTGTCAGCTTCCCGCTCTTTGTTTTCTTTGCGGCCGGCGCCTTTCCTACTGACTGACCGGCTTGTTTCAAAACTCTTGCATAACATGACTTTTTCCCTCTAAAGAGATATCGGTCAGATTGTTTCTACCCAATTGATCAGCGGAACATGACATCATCTTTGCAATCTTTTGCATCACAATGTCCTTCCCAGTTTCAGTGAATAATATGACAGCCCCTCACTAACGAGGCATGTCCCCACTCAGCCCGTGACCTTACTGTAAAACAACATCAACCCACTTCCTTCAGTGGTTTTGTTTCTGTTTTGTTTGTCATTTGTTCTTGGAATGTTGTTATTCTGAACTGCTGATTCTCATGGGTGAGTTACAAAGACAACTGGACTAAGTGCTGAAAGATTCCAGATCTGGGTCGATCAGAGGTATCCTGGCACACATTACATTTTTTTAGAAGACCCTTTTATCCAAAGCGACAGACTTTTTTAGGAAAGCAGGGTCAAACAGCACCTGGAGCAATTAGGGGTTAAGGGTTTTGCTTAAGTACTTAATAGTGAAATCACTCTGTTGACCCAAGGATTTGAACCAACAACCTTCTGATCACTGGCATCTGCTGAGCTGCACAAACAGAATGGCACAAGTTTAAGTTAGGTTCAAGAGTTCAAAAATGATGACTCTCCGCCCACTTCTGATGTAGACATGCACCCTGACTGATGGCTTGAGGCAGGAGATGACTGAGACTCCTCTCAGCATTCCTACTTTAAGTCCATCTTTGCTCCTCTCAGAGAATAAAGGGCGTTCTTCTTAGCAATACAGCAATCACAGACATGGAGATCGCAACACTGTCCACTGTCTGGAAAATTACATATAAATTGTAACATCTGCATGCCATCCTAAAAGTGGGTAAAAGTGTGTACATTCACAGCCAGTTATATCTTGCATTTATTTAGTTAAAGTTAACACAATTAACTAAAAAAGTAACAAATGCTCATATCAATAGGGTGGCTGGTTTGTAAATGTTGAGCAACTTCTGGTAAGAATCATAAGACAGTCATATGTAGGTTAGACCAAAAGAATTGAAGTGATCCTCTGGGATGATTGGAATCCAGCTCTGCGGGCCCGGAGGCACACCCCATAACTGCAGAAACTCAGACGGCAATCTTCCCAATGATAAGGCTCGGCAGAAACGTGGCACATTGTAGACAAAATGCTGTTACCTGAGGTCTTAAAGCTGTCAGTGGTGTGCCTCTCCTTTCAAACACATTCTGTCAGACTGAAAGAGACTTTTTAACTTTATTTTTTATTAATATGTAGCTTCTTTTAGATAAACCAGCATGGCTTACTTGTTTAGACATTCTATAGCTGATTCACATTAATGGCACGTACACAGTAATATTGATTTAAAGATTTATCATCACAGTCTACGATAGGTCTTGTACCAAGGCTTAAAAACAAAATGACACTGGGTCAAACGTCATCCTGTCCTGACCAGGAGAGTACAGGTAAAGCTGAGAGGGTTGAATGACCATAAAAGGATATTTATGTGATGCGGAGGCTGTGGAGGTTTTGGTACTAGAGGAAGGAATTCAAGAGACAATGAGATGAAGGCAGAGCAAGGTGAATGGAAGACTGATAGCTTGAGGGAGGTGAGGGGCGTGGTCTAGGCAGGTGTGTGGGCAGGGCTTATAAACAGTGAATACAGTAGCACACATGGTCACACGGTCATTTGGCACATTCGTGCCTCTCAATGACTGAGTCTCATTGACACAAGGTGCGCAGAGTGGGAGAGAAGGACAGAGATGTATTTATACAGGAACTTTGGGAAAATTATGGAGGCCTATATAGGGAAGAATTCCAGCATTGACGACTCAGAAGATACTGATTCAGGGGGGCAGGACTCCACGCTGGGAGACAGGGCCGCGGAAAGGCTGGGCGTACTCCTGAAGTCGGAGTCGGAGGACTCTGGGGTGGAGGAGCCAGTGGTCAGCCCTCTTGGCTCGGAGCAGAGCTTTTCATTGGGCAAAGATACCGACTTGGCAGATGGGCCGCTGTCGCCCTCACCTCTGCCCTCACCCTCACCAGCCCTCGCTCCCTCCTTATCATCACCCCCAAACCTGAAGGGACGGGAAGGTTGGCACAGAGTGCGGACCATTGTTGAGCTGGCTCTACAGAGGACCAAGCAGAGGGGCTCCAGAAGTCAGCCTCGGCTGCCCGTCAGCCTCATGGCCCCCCAGGTCCCGTTAGGTGAGAGTTTGGATGAGAGGGTCCCACAGTTGCCGGACCCTGAGCCCTGCCAGCAAAGCCAGGGCAGGTCAGAGGTGAGGCCGCCTTACTTCGCATTTCCTGCAGGCCAGCTGCTCGTTCTTCATCCTCTTTAATATCTCTCTCACCCTCAATTATTTACAGATACAATAAACATCTCAGCGTCATTTACAGTCTCCTGCTAGCTGGACGGTGTCGATCTCATTGGCAAATGCTTACCGCTTCACGTCAGGGAACCCTAACGTGTCAGGAACCTGTTATGCTTTAACATCTGATGGACAACACAAGCCCGATGTCACCTGAACGCTGTCAATGACTTCCTGGCAACGCAATATGACATTAAAGCGACGTATTTACAAACAGGCACACTTACGGTTTCAGCTGTAGAATCAGCTACATCTCATTTCCTGTCCTCTGCGAACACAGCAAGACGACTGGCAGACATGAGATTGCAGGTGAAAATGTTTCTGCCAGTGCATGCCGTAGGCTCTGCCGCGTTTATGAGTGACAGGCAGTGCATTCCGTTAGTAATAATAACTAATGGGGGGTAATAACTATAAGGAGGGTCTGAAAACATGATATTTTAGGTTCTAAAAGATAATGAAGACCTGATATTCTTACTTTTTTCAAAAAAAAGAGTCGCGATCTTTCGTCGTGATGTGAAGCACGCTACAAACTAACGGAGTTAAACCCAAGCAGATAAAAAGAATTCTGTATAGTCACTGTTGTGTCATCGAGGTTATCAATGCTATTTTGTTTTCAGCCGCATTTTTTGACTTTCAAACAGAACCAGTCTACCCAGGTGTTGAAACTCAGGAGCATGAATGGAATTGGGGGGCGGAGTCTGTGTGTGACTCGCATGCCAACTAATCAACAGTTGATTTGTAGATACTGCAGATGCCTCATGCATGGAAACACATCGCTTTCCAAAATTCGTCACAGCAGTTCTCGGATACCTGGGGAGAGAGTTGCATAGATATAAGGAGGTCAGTTTTGCTTGGGGTGACATCACATGCGTTCACAGGCAAATCCGAAAGGGCATGTGAGGAAAATTGCATAAATCCTCACTTTTTAGGTCGTCATTTGCGTGGGTCAAATAGATTTTTGCGCACTTGTTGTACACTCACCTAAAGGATTATTAGGAACACCTGTTCAATTTCTCATTAATGCAATTATCTAATCAACCAATCACATGGCAGTTGCTTCAATGC